TACCTTGAAATTGCACTCACAGTAGCGAAAATGTTCTATTCTTTAGTGAAGCTCAAGAGTCAACAAATGACGTCACCGTCCAATACCTGTCCGCCTGCCAGTCAAGAATGGGTTGACATTATTTATACAATTATTACAATAAAGCAGTAGTCTGCATAACAGTAAATCTTTTTTTTTTTTTTTTTTTTTTTGTGAATAAAAATTCCAAATGGTAAGCAAGAGTAATATAAGTGGGGCCTGTAGCCATGACTAATGAACAGAGAAAATGTTATTTTAGTGCCAGGAATGTCTACATTGTTTATTCTGGACCCTATTTTGAAATTGGCATCTGTTGAAATTTGTGTGAAATCGGCCAAACTGCCAATTTCTGACCACTTTATTGGGTAGTTGAAATAAGTGAATGGGCGGTTTCTTGTACTCAGTTGACAGACTAGAAGTAAATAAGTTTATTAAGGTATACACAAATACAGTTACATAGATTATCATACATATCAGTGTATGTATAGAGAACCTAGGATAACCCAGAAAAGTCAGACAAAGTGACTTATTTCCAGTACCTGGCTTGGGCTTGCCATATATGATTTTGGTAAATATTTTTGTTTTCTCGGTTGTTTGTTGGGCTATCTCATTGAAACTTGGGCAATGTATGATGGAAAGATGCTTGTAAACGTACAACAAAAATAAAAAAGACGAGCGATAAATAAGGGAGTTCACTTCTCAGCCATTAGCCGCCTCTTTGCAGTATATTTTCATATGATTTTTATGGTTGTATTCTCATTTTTTTGGACTCATTTGATAGAATGGAAGATATATTACAGAAATAGACATGATTTTGATTGCTTTCATGACGAAAAGTACCTTGAAATTGAGCTCAAAGTAGCGGAAACGTTCGATTCTTGCCAATGTTCAATGAACTTTGTGCAAGTCAAGTTGGTTAATTTTATTAAGTGTATTCTAACCTAACCACTCTGTAATCCGGCACACTACAGGTCCCAATGATGCCGGATTTGTGATGGAGGACCTGTACTTCTTCTTTTTATTAATACACTGGCCATTTCCCACCAAGGCAGGGTGACCCCAAAAATATGAAACACTCAACATAATTTACTCCATCACTGTCTTGCCAGAGGTGCACCTCCACTCCAGTTAAAACACTGCAGCATATCAACTCCCCTCTTTCAAAGCGCAGGCACTGTACTTCCCACCTTCAGGACTCATGTCTGGTTAACCAGTTTCCTTGAATCCCTTCATAAAAGTTACTTTGCTCATACTTCAACAGCACAAGTCATAAAAAAACCATTTGTCCCCACTTGCTCCTATCCAGCAAGTTGACACATGCTTGCTGGAAGTCCAAGCTCCTCACACACAAAACTTCCTTTACCCCCTTCCTCCAACCTTTCCTATGCCGACTCCTACCCCACCTTCCAATATCAAATTTACCATTGCTATCCAAAATATTCAAGAAACTCGTGCACAGGAGACTGTATTCATTTATAACAGCACAAAACATACTCAACCCTTACCAATTTGGATTCAGGAAAAATAAAAGCACTAATGATGCAATTATAAAAATGCTAAACCTGCTTTACACAGCATTGGAACATAAGGAATATCCGCTAGGAATTTTTATTGACCTAAGAAAAGCGTTTGACATGGCTGACCACGGCATCCTACTCCACAAACTTGACCACTATGGTATAAGAGGCCATGCGCTTGCATATTTTAAATCCTACCTTTCTAATAGGTATCAGTATGTCACCATTAAAGACACAGCCTCATCAATACGGCCACTTGATACTGGAGTTCCGCAGGGAAGTGTGCTTGGACCCCTGCTCTTCCTCATTTACATCAATGATCTTCTAAACAAATCCCAACACCTGAAACCCATTCTCTTTGTTGACGACACAACTTATGTCATCTCCCACCCTAATCTTGCCACCCTCAACATCATTGTTAACGATGAGCTGCTCAAAATATCGATTTGGATAACATGCAGGGGCAAGCAAAGATGTACTTCGCTTGTACTATATACAAGCTATACGCTCACTCATTGACTACGGTTCACTGGCTTTAGCTCATCTCTTCCCGCAGAGCAGGCAAAGGGTGGAGGTCGTACAAAACCAGGCGATAAGAACTATGCTTGGTGCCCCCATCTGGACCAACACAGTATGTCTCAGATCTGAGGCCCGTCTTCCTTCCTTGGCTGACAGAGTAAGATACATAAACGCCTGCAAAGTGGCCACGATTCTGCACCGGCAGCAAGGTACCCCACTAAGGAGACGGATATTAACAACCATGTCACAAGATCCCACACTCTTCACGCAATAGTCCTGGATTCGTTCGTTTTGTGCTGCTGGGCAGAAACTGCTGCCTGTACAGCTGCTCTGTGAGAAGAGTTGTGACCTTCCTGTATGCCTGAGCATAATGACAGCCTTAGAAGTTCAGGGTAATAGATCGACATTGAACTGGATCCCCAGCCATGCTGGCATCCGGGGAAATGAGGCGGCAGATGATGCAGCCAAGGCAGCAACAGACTATCCACATGTTTGTAGATGAATGGTTCAGAGAACCGACATGTTGATAAATTAGACACATGTGCGGCTCTTGGGTGTCTTTGTTGAGGAAGCGTTTCGCCGCACAGTGGCTTCATCGGTCCATGCGTGGGGGGGGCTTGGGGAGCGGGAGGAGAGTGAGGTAATCAGTCCCTCAACCTTGAGTGGATGTGTTCAGTCCACACTTGAGGGACTGATTACCTCATTGGGACTGATTACCTCACTCTCCTCCTGTTCTTCAAGTTTCTCCTGCGTGTGGGCTGGTGAAGCCACTGTGTGGCGAAGCGTTTCCTCGATAGGGATGCCCAAGAGTTGCACGTGTCTAATTTATCCACATGTTGGGATTACTGTCCCAATCAGCCTACGACAGACCAAACTGGTGGCTGCCAGAGCCACGAAACTTATGGGGGAGGTCTTAGGTGATACCCCATCTCAACAGTGGTACCGAGCAGCGACTCATGGAGAACCCCCTCCATATGATAGAAGCTGGTCCAAAGCACAGTGTACCGCCATCCATCGGCTTCGTTTGGGCTTTCCAAACAGCCAAGATGATGGTAGACAAGGCTGAGGAGGAGATGTGCCAGTACTGTCAGCACGTTGTCCAGCGGCCCCTAACACACTATCTTCTAGAGTGCGAAGTTACTGAGACACTCCGCAGGCAACTAGGGGTGATATTCCCTCCCGAAGAGGACCCAGAGATGACTGTGGCCACACTAGTGTACCATGGGGTCAACGAACCAGAAAAGCTGTTACCTTCCCAGTGGGGTGATAGAGGCTAGGACCTTCGGTAGCTTTAAGAAGAGACTGGACAAATATATGAGTGGGAGGGGCTGGGTTTGATTGGTGTCATGGGGTACGGGAGTTATTTCTTGGGTAGCTTTAGGTAGATGTCGTTTTGATAAGGACCTGCCTCGTATGGGCCAGTAGGCCTTCTGCAGTGTTCCTACATTCTTATGTTCAATAAACTTAAACTTAACACTGACAAAACCTACTATATTATGTTTGGTAGCAGAGCAAGTGTTATGCAACTTTACATTAAGATCGACAACACTCTAATTGCCAGACATAATGAGGGCAAATTCCTTGGCCTATACCTCGACAACAACCTAAATTTCAGCACCCATATCCAACACATAAAAAAAAAAGTATCCAAAACGGTGGGGATCCTCTCCAAGATATGATACTACGTGCCGCAAACTGCCCTTCTCACACTATACCATTCACTTATATATCCATACCTCACCTATGCTATCTGTGCTTGGGGTTCAACTGCAGCAACACACCTAAAGCCAATAATAACCCCAAAAAAAAGCCGCAGTAAGAATAATCACTAAATCCCATCCCTGGCAACACACCCCCCCACTCTTCATAGATCTAAACTTACACCCTGATCAGAACTTCCACGCTTACTACTGTGCAATCTATATCTACAGGACCTTAAATTCCAATATTAACCTTGACCTAAAATGCTTTCTTGATAGTTGTGACAGGATCCACAGGCATAACACCAGACACAAACATCTCTATGACATTCCCTGTGTCCGACTAAACCTTCACAAAAATTCAATGTATTTCAAAGGACCTAAAATCTGGAACACCCTACCTGAAAACTCTAGAACTGCAGACACACTCATCACTTTCATAACTACAGTTAGAAAACATCTTATCTCCGGATACACCCCGACAACTAACTACATGATAACCACCTGGTGGTTCACAATTACACTCACCCACCCACTGACTATATACACAGAAATACTAATCTTAATCTTAAAATTATGAATCCTAACTAGTCATAAGTTTGCCTATGATACTCCAATATAGACACTTTGTATTGTGCTAAAGCAAAAGCATTCACATTGCTAAACTCACAAATTATAATGTAGTCACCTAGCCTTAATACCACAATCTGTAAGGATTTAATGTTAAGAATTAATCTAAGGCTGCCCGAAATGCCTAGCCATGCTAGGTGTCCTAGTGGCCCCCTCTGTAATTAGTATTTTATATCATGTAAACCACACAATATCCAAATCCTGTAAACCCCACATTGTAACCCTTATAGAGAATAATCTTGATTTGATTTGATTTGATTCCTTCCACTAAAAATTTATACACTCTCCAAATACTTTAATTAAAGTAAAAAATGCACTTACAAGATTAAAATTAAGTGGCAATTTCATTTTACTAAAAGAATGATGCAAGATATTTGTGTACCTCAAAAATATCTATATTCTTCACAATCTTGCTAGATAAACAAGACTAATATGGTCCTTAAAAGTGAAGACCCCCCAGAAATGTATTGAAATACCTAATGTGATGAAAGTGACTACTAAATGCCAGCAAATGTTAGCTAAATACATCAGCCCCAGAGTGGCACATAGCTTCTATTTTACCTTGGATCTCTGCCTTTCGATTTTCCCATTAGAACATTATAATAAACAAATTTAC